GTGTGCAGCTATGATTTAGTTGTTTGCATCTGATGAAATCACTGTCACCCCATTCATAATCCTGATGTTCTAGACACTTCTCAGAAAGCAGTTCATATGATCCAGAATCAAATAAATTCCAAGGAAATAAGGTCTTCAAGAACAGCATTTGCTAATATTTCTATTTGAGTTTTAACCTACATAACATTTTGTTCTATCTTCTTGTTCATTTTAACTCCATTTCCATTGCACTTCTAGCATCACCCAATTGACACTGCTGTAAATTACAGATCAAAAGACTGTTGAATGTGACTGTAATTTGTTGGAAAAAGGTATTCAGGTGCTTTCTAAAATATTCTAAAATATGCAATTTATATTATTCATAAGCACATTAAAAATTCCTGTTCAATCAAATATTATTTAAGATGTAACAGACCTAAAAGAGATAATTATTGATGTATCATTAGGAAAGTATAGTTCTATTTTTTCTTTTTCCCTTTGATTAATATTCCTTCAAAGTTTTGCTTGCTAAGGTCCTGAATGATCATTGTATTGTTACGAAATACATTTGTATCTTTTTGTTATGTCAGAAATCATATGCAGTAAAGTAGTATTTCTCTAAAGACTGCATAGAATAAGCAATCAGTGACTGCAATGAATGGTAGACAAAAGTGACAAAAAATTAAGGCTAGTTTAAGGTAGGTTTTTTTTTTCTCTTAATACATTTTTCCAAGTATTCTATTTGTCCATTCCTGTTAAACTTTATTCTACATCTAATTGTAAGTGCAAGAATTTCTGAACTTCGATTTTCATGTCAATAGTCATAATACTGGTGATTTTGTTTACTTGTTTGTTTGTTTGTTTTCCAGTGGATGATGTTTCTTTGCTGGGAAATAAAAATAACAGTTTTCCTTACTTAGAATAAGTGATTTCTTTTTAAAATTATACTTCTGATAAGGCAAAAAATGTTATATAAGTTAAAGGATAGTTTAGAAACAGTGCTCACTATGACAGCTATGAGAACTGGTCTTTAACCAACTAACACACTAATTAATTAGAAATTCTGATGTTAAGATATAACTACCTCTGAAATAACTAATCTCTGAAATAAATTTGTTCATTCTTTTGCTCTAGGCATATCATTTTAAAAGATTTAATTTTATTTTCTTTACAATTCTCAGGATGTTTTGAGGGTTTTGTGATCATCTTTGCAAGTCTAATTATTCCTGTAAAAACTGGAAAAAAAAAAAAAAAAAGTAAAATTTGAACTATCAAGTTATATTCTTCACATCTAGCATCAGCAATCCTTCATCTGCTTAATTATGCCAGTGCTGCAATATATTTATTGATTATATGTAGTCAGAAAGAACATAAAATATGAAATTCTGCTATCACTGGAGCATTCTCTGGGTAGTCTCTAGAACAAGAGGGCAGACTAAGTGAATACAAATTATTATTTTCAACTAAAGAAAAGTAGGAAGTGAAAACTTATATAGGACATCTGCATTTCTGAAAACACTTCCAGGTTTCTTGGAGAAGGTGAAGTATGTGCTGGTTTAACTAGCAACAGTAGCATCCAAACAAATTTGTGTTAATCAGGACTCAGCAACATTGTAAAGAACTTCAGAAGGACTTTCATGAATAAGAAACATAATTTGGAATCAACAAATATTCATCTAAGGCACGATGTTGCACTTGTTTTTGTGCAGCTGGGTTCTTAATGAATTGCAAGACAAATGAGAAAAAAACGGAGTGCAGGTAATAAAAATAAACAAAATACTTACTCAAAACAAGATGAATAAAAGGTTTAATACTAACACACCTGTGATACCAGATAAAACAATTTGTTAGTTTCTGGTAACTGCAATGAATATATAAGGAGCAAGACGAAGAAGGAAAAAAACCAAAAATCTAGTTCTTGAAAGAAAAAAATCTAGTTCTTTATAGAAAAATGAATAACCAGATTCTTCTTAAACTACATTTATTGTAATCAATAACATATACTTTCAGTGGAAGTGTCCAGTGATCAACAGGCCTCTGAAAAGATAAAGGCATTTTTTATTGTGAAAATGGCAATAATATTAAAGATTGCCAAAGCTGTAAAAGTAGATTCATAAAATATTAGAGTTATAAGAGTACAAGCGTGCCTTCTATACATCTAAAAAGATTGGCTCCATGGCAACCCAGATTTCTTTATGCAGATAGTCAGGATTTCTAAATCACAAGCATCAGCTATTATTCAAGTAACTGACTGGTTTTAATTTATGAAAAGTTTTTTGTGAAATTCTAGTGAAAGTGAATATGATTTTATCTCTTTATTAAAGATGGAGTATTATTCCCATACTCAATAACAGTAGATTGACAACTTTCAAATATGAAATTTTCACAGTTTATCATGTAATAGTCAGTTTGCAGCTTCAGCAATTCTTTGGACAGTGTGCACAAATAAATAATGTTTACAGGAGCAATTAAAACTTAATGCAAAACTGTTAGACAGATACAATGGAACTGTGGTGATGCTGACTTGCTAATTGCCACCTACCTGCCTAATACACATTTTATTTATTGTTTATTATCTATTATTTGTTATTTATTATATTTTTAATAATAATTATCCAAAGAACTTGAATTAAGAACTACTGTAAGATTTTCTACCTTCATACACTATTTTAAAATATGGTCAGCAAAGATGTTTATTTATTTGCATTTGCTGTCTGTATTTAATTTCTTTTAATGTTATTGTACAGTTTTATACCATTAATTATAATTTTCTATTTGACAGCATGAAGAATCATCTTACAAACAAAAAATAGCAGATACATTTAGTAATTAGTAATTACTAGTAATACTGTAATTACTTAGTAATTTAGTAATTAGTGTGAAGAAGAAAGCTCATAATTTTTTAGTTTGTAATACTGTAATTCATGTATTTTTTATAATTTAAGTCATGATTATTTCTTTGTTTTTAAACATAGAAATTTTGATGAGAATTAAATATAATTTATGCATTTTTGGAAGCTTTCTTTTATTTCATAAACCTTTTGAAAATGCTGCAGTTATATTGTAAAATATAGTTATTTCTTTGTATTTCATCTTGGTCTCAAAGCAAACAACTAAGTTTGAAATTGGTTGTCTCTGTACATAATTCTATGTTATAAAATTTGTGGTAGCATCTGTATTGTGGATTAGATGAAACAGATGATAAGACAAAAATGTTGAGAAAAAATTCCATGAATTCCTTTCATTCCCAGAATGTATTTGAAATAAAGTGCATGGCTTTACTTATTCCTTCTTATACAAAAGGTCTCCTGTCTATGGAAGGGAAGTTGGATATATCATGAATAAGTATGAAACAATACCAATATATGAAAGTCTTTGTAAAGCATCTAGAGAAGGCCTGTAATGGTGCTCAGTAGAATTTACCTAGGAACCATAATTTCAGATAGCATAAATCCCTAATTGGGTGGTTTGTATTCCACTTGTAAGCTATAAATATTACTTCAAATGTACACTTAATATGAAGAAACTGAATACAAAATTAGATATACGATAATCTACTGTCATAGAATTAACTAGATCAATCTATACCCATGACAGGGGGGCAGTAGGCCCCTGCCCCCTTCCTCCCCTCCACCCATCCCCTGTCCCCGCAAAATGGAAAGGAAAAGGGAAAAGGGATAGGGAGATGGGAGCTGGGCTCAAGGAAGATAAAAAAAAAAACAGCACCAACGATCTAGGAAAACTTATTTTACTAACTATGATATCAGAATGGAGGATAACACAATATAATATAATCTAAGTGAAATTGGGAATAATAAATAAAATAAAATAGGAGAGAGAGTTCTTGAGACCGAGTCAAACCTGAAAAGCTTGGTATGGCTAGGAAAGCACCCTCCAGCACCCACTGCCAGGCAGTAAGAGACCACTCAACCAGGAAAGGCCAGATCCCATGATTTCCATGATGTACAGGGACAGGTACCCAGAATAGGAGCATTAACACTTTAACTCCCCATGCACTACATGATGTTATGATGTGGAATACCAAAAACCAAAAATCATAAAACCATGACATCTCCGTAAATCTAAGAATTCCATTACTTAAATTGGGATTGCTCATCATTTATAGTGCTCAGATAAGCCCTATCTTGTATTTTGTTTCATTAACACAATGGGATTGGGTCGATAATAAGAGGGCAAGATGTATGATGGGCAAAAACAAATTCAGCAAAATTTTCAACCTTAGAGGTCAAAGACACTTTCAAAGAGTCTGTGCACTTTAGTCAACCAGCCAAGCCCATTTAAAGCATGACTAGCTATAAGAAGCTCGCGGAAGTCACGTGATTGCCAGCATGATTGCCAGACACATGATCGCCAGCACTTGTTCTCATGGGAGACTTCAACTTCCCTGATATATGTTGGAAATACAATACAGCACAGAGGAGGCAGTCCAGGAGGTTTCTAGACTGTGTGGATGATAGCTTCCTTATGCAACTGGTTGGAGAGCCTACCAGGGGTGGTGCCCTGCTGGACCTGGTCTTCTTTAACAGAGAAGGACTGGTGGGAGATGTGAAGGTTGGGGACTGTCTTGGGCAGAGCAACCATGGAATGGTAGAATTCTCTATTCTTGGAGATGTGAAAAGAGTGGCCAGCAAAACTACTTTCTTGAACTTCCAGAGGGGGGACTTTGATCTGTTCAGGGCAATTGTAGCACGGGTCCCTTGGGAGTCACTTCTTAAGGGTAAAGGAGTCCAGGAAGCCTGGACGCTTCTCAAGATGGAAATCTTAAAGGCACAAGAACAGGCTGTCTCTGAATGCCGTAAGGCGAGCTGTAGGGGAAGATGACCGGTGTGGATGAGCTGGGAACTACTGTTGAGACTCCGGGTGAAAAAGAGAGTCTATGTCCTCTGGAAGAAGGGACAGGCTACTTGGGGAGTTTACAAGGGAGTAGCTAAGGTATGCAGGGAGGAAGTTAGGAAGGCAAAAGCCCAACTTGAACACAGATTGGCCACTTGTTGTCTGACCCGGCAGCGGGTCGGGAGGCCAAAGCCCCCGTGTGCCATCATCACCCCAGCCACTGCAGCAGCAACCTCGCCAACCACAGACGGGTTTGACTTCTGCTTGTCTACGATATACTTGATGGCCTCACCGGGGGTGTGAAACCTTTCCGGTGCCGCTCTTAGCAAAGCGCGTATGTCCCCGCTCGACTTCTGATATAAGCAGTCCAAAATAACAGGACCATGGACCGCCCTAGGAAGGTCTGACCCTTCTACTGCCTTTATCAGCCTATCTGCAAAATCCTGAAATGACTCCGTTGGGCCCTGTATAATCTCTGTCCACGGGGTAGAGGGCTCTGCATTCCTTGCGAGCCTCCTAAACGCCTCTAAAGCGGCGTCAGATGTAGCTATCAGCTCCCCAGGTCTCAGTTGGGTAACCTGAGCCTGGGCAGTTAGCAGACCTGGTGCGCTACCCATCAATCTCTGAAGGTCGGAGTTATGTAATGCGTTTGCTGGATCGTTTTGCACTGTAACCAACATCTGTCTAAGCCGGGCCTGCCACTCCTCCTTCCACAACGTGTACTGCACCGGTTTCAGAACCATACGCATCAAATTCTCTATGTCATAGGGTAGGAGAGGCCCCTGTGCGGTAAGGTTCTCGAGGGCATTCATCGTCAAGGGGGATTTCAACCCCTTTTTCTCGACTGCCTCGAGCACCCTCGTGATCCCTTTTGGATCTAGAGGAACCCAAATTGGGCCCTCGTCTGAAACCACAACCGGAAACGTGGCTGGATTCGCTAGGCCCTTTTCTTCCGCTTCCTCTTTAACTTTAGCCCAGTCAGTAACCGGGCCCCCCCCCGGCCGCGGGCTCCCCCGCCCCGCTCCGCCCCCCACCCTATCGCGTTCCTCAGGGGGCGGTTCTGGCTGAGACATTTTGTCCAAAGAAGGGCACAAAGACGGGGCAGGGTAAGGCGGGGGCGGAGCTGTCGGCTCACATGACTGACTCGGCGGCTCCTCCTTCTGCATCTCTCCGCCTCCGTTCTCTGTCGTCGCCGCCATCTTGGCCTCACCGGATCTATGAGAAAGTAAAGACCCGCTCCTGACAACCCCCGTCATGCTCCGGTCCTCCCCGAACTTTCCTTCCACCTTTGCCGCTTTGAGAGCCCCAAGTATCAAGCCCCATGTTTTAAGCTCTGAGGCTTTTTGGTCGGACATGGCGCGCTGGCACAGCGCCGAAGTAAGTGAGTCCCACCTATTTGAATCGAGCACCTGTTGAGGGGAGTCCAGCTCACCCTCCTTTTCTAAACGCGATAGCACGGCCGCGATCTCCTTCTTAGAAGGAACGGTCCTACCGCAATAACTTTTACAGAATTGTAAAAGTACCTTAATTACTTGATCCATAGTTACACACGCGACCTGCCGCCACCTCACAGGCTTCTCTGCCTTACGGGCACGCCGGGCAGCTACTTCTCACAGGGCAGATCACATCGGGGTCACCACTTGTTGTCTCTCTCTGTATCATTCGTCTTCTACCCCGTGAGACGCTGCATAACCAGCGAAGCCGACCCTAACCAGGTCGGGGCCAAATGCTTGCACAGACCCCAAGAATAGGTGAAGCAAAATGGCGTTTATTAAAATGTAGCAGGCACTTAAATATTCTTGTCCCGCTTTGTCTACACCCCTTGCATACACGCTGTCCTATTATAGGGCAGCACTTGGCAAGCCCTGAGCATAGGGAACCTGACCCCGTCACATACCGTTTCCTCGCCACGCCTACTACAGCCACTGCAGTAAAAGACAATAAAAAATCCTTTTATAAATATATCAACGGCAAAAGAAGAACCAAGGATAATTTTCATCCTATACTTGATGCAGCAGGGAATGTGGCCACTGAGGACAAGGAGAAGGCTCAGGTCCTCAATGCCTTCTTTACGTCTGCCTTTAATAGCCAGACCAGTTATCCTCCAGGCATTTTATGCCCTGATCTGGAAGTCTGGGATGCTACTCAGAATATACCCCCAGCAATTCAGGTGGAGACAGTCAGAGAGCTCCTCCTCCATCTGGACTGTCACAAGTCCAAGGGACCGGATGGGCTACACCCGAGGGTGCTGAGGGAGCTGGCGGGGGTGATTGCTGAGCTGCTCTTGGCCATCTATCAGCACTCCTGTCTAGCTGGAGACGTCCCAGAGGATTGGAGGCTTGCTGATGTGACTCCCATCTACAAGAAGGGCTGTATGGAGGATCTGGGGAACTACAGGCCTGTCAGCCTGACCTCAGTACTGGGGAAAGTTATGGAGCAAATCATCTTGGGTGAGATCATACGGCACGTGCGTGGTGTCCAGGGAATCAGGCCCAGCCAGCAAGGGTTCATGAAAGATAGGTTGTGCTTGAGCAACCTCATCTCCTTCTATGACTGGGTGACCAGCCTGGTAGATGAGGGAAGGGCTATTGATATAGTCTACCTAGACTTCAGCAAAGCCTTTGACACGGTCTCTCAGAGGATTCTTCTCCGGAAACTGGCTGCCCATGGTCTGGACAGGTATACCCTTCTTTGGGTAAGAAACTGGCTAGAGGACTATGCCCAATGGGTAGTCCAGCTGGTGACCCTTTTCAAGTGGTGTTCCCCAGGGATCGGTACTGGGGCCTTGTTTAATATCTTTATTGATGATCTAGATGAGGGGATTGAGTGTAACCTCAGTAAGTTTGCAGATGACACCAAGTTGGGAGGTGGTGTGGATCTGCCTGAGGGTAAGGAGACCCTTCAGAGGGATCTAGATAAGCTGGATCACTGGGCTGAAGTGAATGGGATGAGATTCAACAAGGCCAAGTGTCGGGTCCTACACTTTGCCCATAATAGCCCCATGCAGTGTTATAGGCCTGGGGACAAGTGGCTGGAAGATTGTGAAGAGGAAAGAGACCTGGGGGTGTTGGTTGATGCTTGGCTGAACATGAGCCGACAGTGTGCCCAGGTGGCCAAGAGGGCCAACAGCATCCTGGCCTGCATTAGAAATAGCGCGGCCAGCAGGAGGAGGGAGGTAATCATCCCCCTATGCTCAGCAGTGGTGAAGCCACATCTCAAGTATCGTGTTCAGTTTTGGGCTCCTCACAAGAAAGACATTGAGGCCCTAGAGCGCATCCAGAGAAGAGCAGTGAAACTGGTGAGGGCTCTGGAGCACAAACCTTATGAGGAGCAGCTGAGGGAGCTGAGATTGTTTAGCCTGGAGAAGAGGAGGCTCAGTGGAGACCTCATTGCACTCTACAACTTTCTGAAGGGATGTTGTGATGAGGAGAGATTTGTTTTTTTCTCCCAGGCAACAAACAGGACGTGGGGAAATGGCCACAAGTTGTACCAGAGGAGGTTTAGGCTAGACACGAGGAAAAACTTTCTCTTTCAGAGCGTAGTCAGTGCCAAGGGAGGTGATGGAGTTGCCATCCCTGGCAGTGTTCAAGATGTGCCTGGATGAGGAGCTACAAGATATGGTTTAGTTTGTGGTAGCAATGGTAATGATATGACAGTTGGACTAGACGATCTTACAGGTCATTTCCAACCTTGTGATTATATGATTCTAAGCCTTCACATCTTGGATTTATGGTACTCATATTTGAACAGACATAGGAAAACAGCAAAATTTTACTAATTAGAAGTAGCCTCTAAAATGCATTTGTTTTGTCAGTGCTACAGGCAAAATTTAGATTTAGTTAAAATTATTCAGTAAAATTTGTTCTTTATCATACATTCTGGATTTTTATAATGGAACAGTTTGAGAAACTTGAAGCTGTCACCAAATGCTGATAAATGGAACTGTCAAACTTGAGTTTAACAAGAATATATTACTCTCTTTTATGATAAGGTAGCCCTGGCAGGAGTGGATGAGGTTTTTAGGAATAGGGGAGGTAAGACAATATTTAATTACTAGGTGAAATCGGACTAAATAATATTTTTAATTTGTTTCAGTAATAAATATGCAACATTCATATTCTCTATCAGAGAAATTTGGCCTGATCAATCAGACTATTGGTTTTTGCATACACAACTTTTCCTTTCTCATTTGCATTTCTCACCTTCACCCTTCATTCTCTGCCTATCTGGAGAAATTTGTATTGACAAGAAGTACTTAGAAATGGTTTCTCAAAACCACAAATTTCTTTCAGTCAGATTGTATTAGTTGACAAATTCAGAGTAAAGACGGTTAGCGAACTTCCATTGAAAACATTTAAATGGACTATACTGGTCTATTAAAATATTTATCTTAAGCTAGACAAGTTTTATTTTGTTTATTTTTATTTTTTTTTTTTTTTTTTAAGTCTTCTAATGACTTAGATTCATGTGAAGGGATAGTTCAGTCCAACATGACAAAGACAGACAGGACTTGCAGTTTCTCCACTAAGGAGGCAAGAGCCTAAAAACACTGAAAGACAGAAATTATGATTTATTTACTGCAGAGACAGATATCCTAGCAGCAAAGTATGAGAATGGCCTCACAGCTCCAGGACTACCCAAGTATCTAGAGAGGCTAGCACTGAATTTCCATAATTCAGTTAGCTATGCTAGGACTTGCAGGCATTTAGGCTTTAAATCTATTGGAAAGCTTGATCCAGCCATGACCTCAGGTTTGCTGAGAGTAGCCTTCAACATAAAACTCAAGGTTGAAGAGTTCCCAGGCATTACACTACAGGCTGACTATGCCACGCTCCAGGTGCTCATAAAACCCTTATGACATCTCAAGTGTGCTTGGTCTTACAGTTCATCTCCAAAAAATGTTTCTACAAGACCTGTGTAAGTCATAGGCAAATTTATGAATGAACATACAAAAAATACATAAATGAGGTATAATATGTATTATAAGCATGTCTCGCTCCAATTTATAGGAGGGAGAAGAGGTTCTTTTTTATGTATGTATATGCAATGTGATATTAAGAAAAAACAGTTCAAATGTTGGCCCGACCAGTTTATTATAAATCCTAATCGGGGAGATGGGGAAGGGAAGGATGGCAACTATTATTGAATTAGGGTGATGGGGAAGGGAAGGAGGGGCAATAGATATGATAAGAAATAAGCAAGAATTGCGTGAAGTGGGGATAGTCACCACCAGGATCCAGGAGCAGTCCCCTTGCACCTCTTTTCGAAGGTCTGAGGCAAAAAACGCAGGGGAAGAGCAGCAGCAGTGTGGCTGGCCTTGGGCAGCAAGCAGGTAGCAAGAAGTCACAGAGCCAGTCCGGGATAAAGCAGCAGGACTCAGGTAGCAGGCCCAGGAGAGTACATCAGCATGCAGGAATTCCATAATGAGTTTAGAATCAAAGAATATTAAGATAGCGTATAATCAAGGAATAACGTATAATCAAAGAATATTAAGATGTTATAATTATGAAATAAACAAGAGAGCCAGGCAAAACAACAAAGAGAATAAATAGAATGCTTACCCGCATCATGGGCTCGCTCAGGAAACTCCAGTGGAGCGGATCTCCAGAAGAGAGATCCTTGTCCACTGGTAGTCAGCTCTTCAATGGGTCTAGGAGAGGTGGAGCCAGGCTCCACCCCTTCCTGCAGCACAGGTGAATTGCTTTCACCTGTGCTCCCATGGCTGACTCAGTGCTCGCCTCAGGTGATCAATCAGAGGTTCAGGCCATGACTCAGCAGTTCCCATACACTCCACCCCTTCACAGCGTGAACCAATGATCAGGTTGACTAAAGGGTAAGCTTTTCCTCATACAGAGACACGACGCTTATACAGTTTCCATTGCAACGCATGTTGATACAATTCAAGACAAGTGACAAATGGTGAAGATCGATATTCTTTTATGGGCCAGTACTCAATGATGTTACTGGAGGCATGCGGTCATGAGGAGCAGGTCCATCTTCTGTTCCATCAGTCCCTTGTAGGCTATCACCGGGTGTTGCACATGATCTGACCGTAACACTGGAACGCTTTCATGGCATTTCGTTCCTTCCGGTAATCCTGAAGGCTCAAAGACTCACGGGGAGTAATACAGATGTTTCAGGGGTACCAGGAGGGGAAGGTCTGCTCTCCAGGGCAGGATACAGACTGTATTTCTATCCTGGGTCAACACTTGGGCCTGTACTGGGGCATGTCCCAGCTGCCTGTACCACACCTTCTGACCAGATGTCTGCAGCTGCAGAACTATATCAGGCACCAAAGGAGGTGTCCAGATCTGCCATAGGAAAATGATGGGGGTCCCTTCAGCAATGAAGACTGGAGTGTTGATCACAATATCAGTAGGCCATGTACCTATTACTGGAGGAACTACTGAGCCTCCCACCTCCAACAGTTCCCTCCAGGGAGCAAGTAGGCCACACCACTTGGGTCCTACCTGCACCTTCCAAGGCTATTTTATTCTATGGGTGCCTGATTCTAAGTTCCCAGGGGCAGGGAGCAGAAGATTATTTTCATGACCAA